CGACAATTGACCGAAAAGGTTTGTTGGAACTGTGACGAAAGGGGTCACAATTATAAAAATTGTGTCAAGCCAAGGAGGGTATTTTGTTACGGATGCGGTCTGATAGCATTTTTTCTACCCAATTGCCCGAAATGTAATGATTCGGGAAACGGGTTGAGGGATGTCAGCAACAAGCTAAGGCATCCCAGCAGCAAATCGGATCAGCGCAACTAGAGCCAAAAGTATCGATTTTGCAGAAGCCTGATTTTACGCAGAAAGATGCTCCAAAATTTCACCCAATTGTTCCACTCCATCAGCGTTTGGTTGCATATCAAAGCGCTCGAAATAAAATTTTTAAAAGGTCACGTTCGGCTCAACGTGCGAGAAAATTCTGGTCACAAATAAAACAGAAACAAAATAACCTTAGTTCGATTAGTTCCATTCTGAGTAAAAATAACGACATAAGGCCTTACGCTTCCATACAGCTTATGGGTAGGAATACATTGGGTCTTTTAGACTCAGGTGCATCTGTAAGTTGCTTAGGGGCTGAATTGGCAAAAGAGGTGTTAGCTAGTGGGAAGTTGTTTAAGAGAATAAATTCAAAGGTGCAAACCGCTGATGGATCCCGCCAAGAAATTGTTGGCATAATTACATTAGAAACCTGTTATAAAGGTGAGAAAAAGAGGATTGAATTTTATATAATCCCATCACTGGTGCAAGATGTTTATCTCGGAGTTAATTTTTGGAAGGCGTTCGGAATTGCAACTAACTTGATCAGCGAAATTAGCGATACAGACATAGATTCGAATTTGCATAGACTAACAAAAGAGCAACAGGAAACACTGCAGATGGCTATTTCATGTTATCCAAATTTTGAAGAACATGGGCTAGGGAAAACTAGGTTAGTTGAGCACGTTATCGACGTGGGTAATTCTAAACCAATAAAACAGCGCCACTTCCCTGTGTCTCCAGCAGTGGAGAAATTAATGTGCGATGAAATCGATAGAATGCTTGCTTTAGGAGTTATCGAGGAATCTAACAGCCCTTGGTCCTCCCCAGTAGTTCTTGTGCGTAAGCCAGGAAAAGTACGTCTCTGCTTAGATAGTAGGAAAGTGAATACACTTACAGTAAAAGATGCTTACCCGTTACCCCATATCGAAGGTATTTTATCCAGGTTGCCTCGAGCAG